GACACGCCCTCAGTCATCTCCAGCATGCCCCCTGCGATCGAGCTGTACGCGGCGATGTTCGGCGAGGATGAGCTTCCTCCCTGGGCTGGCGTGGTCATTGCGCCCAAGCGGGCCGCCGCAGAATCCGCCGACAGCGCCGGCTCGCAGGCGAAGGGCAACGGCAAAAGAGAGCAATCACTTCTTCACAAGGTGGCGGCGCTTTCACTGGCTACCGCTCGCGAGCAGGCTGTGTTCTCGTCCATCGTGCTGTCGACTTTCCTGGTGCCGGGCGAATCGTACTTGGCCAAGAGCGGCCTGGCGGCCAACAAGGTCTACTCGGACACGGTCAAGAAGATTCACGATCGCAAAGAGGCGGGCGAGGATGCCGATCTCGCCAGTCCAGGACCTCCGTTTATCACGGTGTTCTCCCTCTCGGTGCGCGCCATGATGACGCAGAGATCGGATCAGGTGCAGAAGGCCGCCACGGAGTTCTTCCAGAAGTATCTCAAGGACCAGACGCCGCAATACATGGCCTCGTTGGTCAGGCAGTTCACCGTGCGGGCCCCGCGCGGCCCTGGCAGCAAGCGGATGCAGGGCAAAGTCAAGCTGACGCTGGCGCTGGGTCCCAACCCCGAGGCGCAGGCGGTGAACACGATGATGGACTTGGCGCTCGCGGAGTGCAAGGCCGTACAGATGGTGGGGACTGCGCCGAAAGGTCCTCTCGAGCGTCAGATTGCGGCGGCACTGGAGCGCGCGTGACTATCCCTGAGGCTTTTGCCACGAGTGCTCGATACCGTGAGCTTGTGGCCAGAGGCGTGCTAGGTCAGCCAGCCAAGAATTTGTTGGTGGCCTTGCATGCGGAGGAGAAGGACGGGGGGGGGGAGTTGTCGTCGTCGTCGTCATGGGCGGGGGAAGGGATCCAAGTCTTGAAGTGCTGCTAGTTCCAGCGGGGTCGACGCGTGGACTTCCACGCCGAGTCGTTCCCCGCGGACTAGCGGCTATGTGGCCGCCGCAGGGCCACGACTGAAAGTCGAGAGAGTTGGCAGCTTTGCCGCATAGGACCATGGCTTTTTTCTTAACCCTGGAAGTTGCGCCTTCCGCTCCATATTCGTTCGGAGGCGGGCCTCGCCTTGCTTCCACTCCGTATTGTCGACAAGAGAATTTCGTCAGGCACGGCCCAGCCAGCAAACATTCGGAGGCGGGCCTCGTCTTGCTTTCATTCCATATTTAAGCGGCGTGGCTGTCTGTCGCGATGCAGTCAAAGATCGATGAACTGGTCCTTAATGCTTTCGAATCGAATCGAATCCTCCTCCTCCTCCTCCTCCTTCTCCTTCTCCTCCTCCCCGCGTCATCGTCACCGTCGTCGTCTCACCGTCGTCGTCGTGGGCCGCCCCCGAGACACCCCTCCTGCACCCGCGGGCCCTCGGCCACCGGCCGTGCCCGGCCCTCGGCCCTGGAGACCGCCCTCGGGCCCCCGGAGCCTGGCCCGTGTTCGCGCCCCTGCGGCCGCATCTTGGGCACGAGGACACCTTGCAAGAGCACGAGACCCTCCGCGGGCCCGAACGGACGAGCACTCGAGGGCGCCCTCCCCCAGGATGCAGGAGAGCATCAAGCAAAGCGCGAAGGACACTGGGCACCCACCCCGAGCCGCCCCGACCCGATGCACCTCGGTGCGACTGTGGATCTCTGGGCCCTCGCTCTTGCCAATGCGCTGTCAGATTGCGGCCGCTTGTTGCGGCCCGCTCCCGGGCGGGGTGGGCTATCGCCCCCTGATGGCTGCCGTGCCACGCCTCGGCTCTCCGGCGGCCGTTCGGGACGCTCGGGGCACCCCTGGAGCGCCCTCGGCGAGGCGAAGCCGCTGGAGGACATCCCGAGGCTGGAGAGCCGCCGAGAACCAGCGAAAACGGCCGAAAACCTCCAAGCCTCAGACCTTACACCCCAAACATTCAAACCTCCACGTTGCCCCTCTGAGGAGAAATAGGAAAGGGATGTGGGGGCATGAGGACATTGGGAATGACGACGAGAGGAGGAGGAGGAGGAGGAGGAGGAGGAGGAGGAGGAGGAGGAGGAGGAGGAGGAGGGAGGAGGAGGGGGAGGAGGAGGGGGGAGGAGGGAGGAGGAGGAGGAGGAGGAGGAGGAGGAGGAGGAGGCGGAGGGGGAGGAGGAGGAGGAGGAGGAGGAAGAGGAGGAGGGGGAGGGGGAGGAGGAGGAGATGGGGGAGGAGGAGGAGGAGGAGGAGGAGGAGGAGAAGAAGAGGAGGAGAAGAGGAGGAGGGGGAGGAGGCGGAACCGGCGAGAACGGCCCAAGACTAAAGGGGCCAAGACCTGTCGTTGCCCACGAGATCCTCGGCCGCCCTGCGGCGGCGGCGGTGGCGGTGGCGGGGCGGGCGGGCGAGGGCCGACCAGGTCGGAGGACTGCACGATGGCGTCGTCGGCCAGCTGCTGCGCCGCGTCCAGGGCGAGGCACACCGGCAGGCCTCGGCGAGGGGGGGCGGCGCTCCCGAGGCGGTCGGGTGCTGCCAGAAGTGCCCCATAGCCAGAGGTGCCTCCAGGATTCTCGGGGGGGCCCAGATGGCCTCCAGAGCACCCCTCACCGAGGCCCAGAGGGCCCCAGGGGCTCCAAGACAGAGCGAGAAGCTGGGGGCACCTTGGGCCAGGGGCACCTCTGGCAGCACCCGAGGGGGTGGCCTCGCTCGCGCGCGCGCGACCAGGATGCTGCCTCCGCCGCTCCGCAGAGAGAAAGAGAGAGAGCGAGAGAGAGAGAGAGAGAGAGCGAGATGCCGACACCTCGGACGAAGCCAGGACGAGGATAGATTCGGGTGAGGATATAGTCAACCCGTCTAGCAAGGATGCGCGATAAGGATGCAATGTCCTTGGCCGCCCATTTCAAAGCTTTTCGAACGGGGCGCGGCCAACAAAAGTGGCCAAGGATGGGCCGAGGAGGAAAGGATGCAGGGGCACCCTTGATAAATCGCACATCCTTACCATGCGTGTCGACTTTACCGACAACGCAGACGAAGCCAGGACGAGGATAGATTCGGGTGAGGATACAGTCAACCCGTATAGTGAGGATGCACGATAAGGATGCAGTGGCTTTGGCCGCCCATTTCGAAGCTTTTCGAACGGGGCGCGGCCAACAAAAGCGGCCATGGATGGGCCGAGGAGGTAAGGAAGAAAAGGGGCACCCTTGGGAAAATCGCTCATCCTTTTCATGCGTGTCGACTTTACCGACACCTCATACGAAGCCAGGACGAGGATACATTCGGGTGAGAATAAATCGAGAATCTCTGAGATCCAGCGGCTCTGGAGGATGCTTCGGGCGCCGCAGCCTTCTCAGAGCATGCCAGAACGCTGTGAGAGGGGAGCGCTCTGGATCGCTCTGGAACGGACTCATCCTCGTCCTGGCTCCGTCCGAACTCCGCTACCTCAGGAGGCTAGCGGCTACCTTATGGGGCCACGGCCGGATCTGGGACAGACTACCACCCTTCAAGAACATGAGACCCTCTGCCAGCCAAACCAAAAAACAGTCGAGGCACCCTCCCCCAGGATGCGCAATCAGGGCGCCCTCCCCGAAAAGACCTCGACCTTATAACGTATACCTCGGTCCGCCCGTATTGTCAGAACCGTTCAGTGCTATCACAGACATCATGTTATCCGGAACGCGATCGTTCTCTCACTCGTCGTTTCGACATTGGGCGAAAGGGGGGGGGGTCTGTCTCCGGACCTCTGCTTAATGCGACTGCCTGCCACAGTAAGTCTTGAGGAGCAGGAGGAGGAGGAGGAGGAGGAGGAGGGGGAGGAGGAGGGGGAGGAGGCTTCGACGCCTCTCTGGAGGGGACCGTCGCTGCCTCCTGCGCCGAAAACAGCCAAGATCTGATCCATGGGGGCGGCAAGGGGGGAGCGAGGGCCCTCGCCGATCGGCCAGCGAATGGCCAAGGCCGCCCTGACTGCGATGCTGGTTCACGGCGATGTTGGGAATCCGCCGAGCCCGCGCAGAACAGATGGTAGGAATTCGTAAAACCAACGTGCGAATGTATCGAGCGAGAACGATGCTGCCAGTTGCAGGAAAGCACGAACCACGATGTCCTACAATCGGTTTGGCCACGAACCAATCCCACCTACAGTGCCGAAGCCTACATCGCCGTTACCTACATCGCCGTAAGCGCGTGTACGGGCGGCCGTAGGCGACCCGAGGAAGAGGAGGAGGAGGGGGAGGAGGAACCGCAGCCATTTTGGCTCAAGCCATTTTTGGTTCAAGCCGCTTTGGCTCAAGCCATTCTGGCTCAAGCCATTTGCTCAAGAAGAAGAACAAGAAGAATTCTGCTTTGCCGGCCTCCAGTTTCCGGGGCCGCGAAATGGTGCGGCGTCTGGGCCCGTCGCCCTCAGACGCGCCTGTCTCTTTGACACGGCCTGGTCTGTGCAGCCATGTCCTCTGCGTGCCCCTCCTGCAAATGCAAGAAGAACAAGCTGCACTACACCTGGTGAATGCACTGCAGGCAGCCGCTCCCGAAAGTTCTTCCTTCTGACAGTCGCGCTGCTAGCGCTGCTGCTGCTGGCTGGGGGCGACGTGGCAAGGGGGGCCCGCGGTCTGCAGGCACGCCCTCTTCTAGCGCTAAATCGTTCGACAAGCAGGCGGCGCAGGCCTTCGCAGCCAGGTACTTCTGCATAACCTGCACCCTGCTCACGGCTGCGCAGCGGGCTCAAGTGGCGCATCAGCGTGCGCAGCAGCCAGATGATCCACGCGCCGTGTCTCGAGCTGCCCAGCAGGAGCATGGGCAGCTCAAGGCTAAGCTGGAGGCCGTCGGCACCAAGCTCGAGGAGGCCGCGCTCGTTCAAGGGGCAGCTTCAGCGGGTGGTCGAGCTCAGGCTGCAGCAGAAGTCGCTCCTCGACCAGGAGAGGCCTGCGGCCGAGAGGTCACGGCAGGCGCGGGCTCAGATCGCAGGCTCGGGCTCGGCCGCTGCGGCCGCAGGGGACGCGCCCGAGAAGGTGCTTTTCCAAAGTTGTCACACGCTTGACCCCAGCCTTGCCAGGCACTCCGACATGTTGCTCACGGCCAAAGCTCAGGCGGAGAGCCAGCGGGCGGCTCAGCGTGCTGCGTCTGCTCCTCCGTTCGCGCTGATCTTGAGGGGGGCGGTCGTGGGCTGCCTGTGGGAAAGGGCGAGATGCCCGACGGCGACGACAGCTTCGAAGATTCGTGGGCTGACAACGCCATGATGCAGCAGGGTTGTCCTCGCCACCCTGGGCAACGCCGACATGGCCAAGGACATCGCCGCGGCGAGCGGTGTCCAGTAAGAGCAGGTCACGCGCATCATCGGCGACGCGGTGGCGACGGCGGCGAGCGCTCCCACGCCTGAGTCCAGGCGCCATGGCTTTCCTTCCCCTCGCTTGGCAGAGCGCGAGCGCAGGCCGTCAATTGAGCAATGACGAAGCCGCCGTGCTGGACAGCAGCGCCAACTCGAGATTGTGCCATCGGTACCTCCAATGTCACCAATTATTCCAGCCTCGAGGAGGGCCCTCAGGGGGTATTCTGGTTTTGTTGCGCTTAACGTTCAGAGGGCCCACAAAGTGTTGAACGCCAATTGTTCGGGGGCCCCCCGTCGCCCCCACGGGTGGTCGGCCAAGTTTTGAAAGCGGTGCATGCCGACAACGGAGTTACCTCCGGGGGATTGCTTCCGTTGGTTCCAAAGAGTATTGGCATGGGTTTCCTGGACTCCGAGCCTTCGAGATTTTCCCTGGGCGCTGTTCGGTTCTCCATGTTGGGGAGATGGCGAAAGGTGTTTTCTCTCGGGCAACACCTATCTTAAGAATGGTGGCGATCTCGCCGACATCACTTGGAGCATCTCAACGCGCTTGGGTGCTATTCTCAAGCGAGCGCACAGTCCCTTCATCATAGGCGGTGATTGGAACACCGAGCCAAGCGAGCTGGTCTCCTCAAGATGGGCCACTGCGCTTGATGCTACCATAGTGGCGCCCAGCACTGGCACTTGCACACCTGCTGGGCGCACGATCGATTTCTGCGTGTCTCCTCTAACCTCTTGGGCAAGCACTCTGTCAGGGTCCTCGAGGACATCCCCGCTTCCCCCCACTCCCCCGCGCTCCTGCGTACTGCTGCTGCGTCCAGCGAAGTGCAGGCGCATGATCAAGGTACCTAGGCGCGTTCCAGTTGCGCTTCCCACTGGCTGCGAAAACGAGCCAGATAACAGCATCTGGGACCATGCATCGCAAGTGATCGCAGACACAGACTCGATTGATGCCAAGCGGGATGCGTGCATTTCTACCGCTGCAACCGCATGGGACAGGATATCCCAGATGCACTCGGACGAGGCGGACACGCACTGTGGGCGAATTCTGCCCATCAAGCCCCGGTCCCATTCTGCTCGGCGCCCTGGGCCTCCTAGGTCCCCGAGGCTATCGGTGCTGGCTTTCTGGTGGAAGCAAGTGCATTTGGCGCTTCTGGATCTCTGCAGGGCCCAGTATCAGGTCTCCGACTAGCGCCGCATTGGGTTTCCAACGTCAACAGGCTCCGCCAGCTCTTCATGGCCCATGCATCGCCTCATGGGGGCCTCTATGTCGGGTGGGCTACTGCCTTGGGCGCCATTGAGCAGCTCGACGCTGGCCGCATAGAAGTCCGCGGGGTGGGCCGAAGAGCAGGCCGTGCGCCAGCGCCAGCAGTCTGCCGGGTACAAGGAGCGGCAGCGGCACGAGTGGATCTACACGCGCTCAGCCAATGGCGCGTCCGCCCTACATTCCCCCCCCCCCCCCCCGCGCTGCCTGTCGAGCGGCAGCCAGCAGCGCTGGGTCACTGCGCGCTGCGGCCCGCCAACTCCCTGGGATCAGGTCGACAGTCTGCGAGCTGCGCAGGAAGAACGGTGGAAAGTACATCATGGAAGGCAGCCGCTGGACTGGCCAGTTTTCCTTGGGAATCGCCCCCCTGCCCCACGGTTTCTGAGCTCAGAACTGTCCTTCGTGCGTTCCCCATCAAGGCAGGCGCTGGTTTTGAACCGGCTAGTCCTAAGAATGTTCTCTTCCTTCCAAACCGCGCGATCCAGCTGCCGTGTGACATCGTCTCGCACATCGAGCACAGGCTCGAGTGGCCGCAGATGCGCAGCCGCATCGCATTCATAATGACGAGAGCAGGAGGTGTTCGACCCCTTGGCCTGCTCCACGCTCTTTGTCGAGTGCAGTGTCGCCTACGGCGACCGATGATTGCAGCCCGGCAGCGCAACAGCCGTCGGCATTTCTCCCGGGCAACCACAGGACGGTCATCCGAGAAATGCGTTTGGATATCCAGTGCCTGGCCTGAGTTGTGTATTACCCAAGGGCAACATTCGGGAACGATGCTGCTCGATTGGAGAAGAGCGCTCGGGTTAGTTCAACGCCATCATCTGCTGCAGGCCGCTATCGTCCCAGGCTGTCCTTTATGGCAGCCAAGGTTGTTGATCGATGTTTTCAGACCTCCTCGTGCTCTGGACCTCGAAGGGGTGTGCAGCTCTGTGAAGCTGCCTCGCTTCTTGACAGTGAGCTGGCAAGAGTGGGCATGCGGCTCGCCGCGGGCAAGTGCAGAATCCGTTGCAACTCCAAAGCGCTTTGAACTCGCATCGCTCGCGGGCGTCGGAAGATTGGCGCTCTTGCTGCGGCGGCGGAGCCAAATCTCGGAGTCGGCTTTGCCGCTGGAAGAGATCAACCCAGGCGCGCCGTCAAGGCCCGGTACATCGACGTCAAAAACACCTCGAGGCCGCATGTCCGCTCTGAAATCATGGCGCGAACGTAGGAGACTACTTGGGCAGATGAGTCGAGCTGCGCTTGACGGAACCACCTCGCACGGCGCAGCGGTCACGAGCGCCGATGAGGGGGAGCTCGGGACTTTGAGAAACCTTGCGGGCAAGTTGCAGGACCACAAGCAGTCAGGTAAGAGCCTCACGTAGTTCCTGATGGTTGCCCTCAGCAAGGACATGGACCCCATCGCCAGAACCGCCTGGTTACCCGTCAAGTTGTTCCTCATGTGCGTTCACGAAAAGTGGTCACCCAAACATGTCTTCCAAAGGAGCCCCCTGCAAGCGGATGCCCACCTCAGGCCCCGCATGTACCCGTGGAGCTCCACCCCGGGACCCTTCACCACTCTTTGGGCGTCTGTGTGGAAAGTAGGTGTCAGGGCCAAATCTCTGATAGACTTGATATTTCCTGAGGATCGTGTTCTGAGCATTTCTGAGGCCTGCCCCTCGGTTGTGAAGTAGCATGGTCTCCGCGCGGTTTCTCTCCTTTTTGCGCTCTAGAGCGCTGCCACAGCAGAAAGGGTTACGTCAGATCATGTGTAATTTGTGCGCAGTGGCCCATGGCGAGGCAATTGCAAGCTGGCTATCCCGTGGGGCCGTATTGCCTTGCGTGTTTGGCTGTCAGCGCGCGCGCTCTCGGCACGCCTGTGCACACGCACTGCATGTGCGCGCAGCACGCGCTCACGCTCGAGTCTCCGCATGTGTCGTGCGTGCCCCTCGCTGACGCTGCAAGGCAAGATGGGCTCCCGAAGCTGCTAGCCGAGAGATGTCTTGTGCCGATGCCGTTAGTTGAGCGCCCATCTCACCCCGACCTCCCACAATCCCTGTGGTTCCATGGACATCCTGGCCTGCTCTCTGGGCACGTCTTCCTGGATGGCTTGTGCTTCGAGGGTGGTTTCGGACCCTGGGCCGCCGCGGGATGGTCGGTGGTGTCTCTGGCAGATGGGCACAGCATGTGTTGTGATCAGGCCGCTGTCTTGTGCGGCCCCATTGTTCTGCGTTTTCGTCCATCATTGAAGCTGAGCTGCAGGCATTGTTGCATTGACTCAGGCACGCATGCCCGCCCAGTGTTGCGCACACAGACTCGAAGCATGTTCTCGAAAGTGTCACTGCACGCGGCAGGCTTGAATGCACTCGACTGTTCAGCACGCAGTCCTTTTATGGCAACAGGTCTGGGATTGGCTTGATAATTGGGAGTTCGACGGGGTGTCGTCGCCGTTGGTTTCGTTTGCCAAAGTGCCTGCTCATTCGACCCACGCCGGTGTTGATGCTGGCCGGGTAGCCATCAGAGTCAAAGTCGGCAACGACATCGCCGACGCCCACGCCAAATGGTCAGCACGGGCCTTCCGACTCCCACCGCCTCGCCTCTCTGCGCTGCAGGCCCGCGTGAGGGCGTTGAAGTCCTGGGTGCACTGGGTGGCGCATGTAGGGGACGTGCTTCCTGATTCCTCCCAGCCTCCCTCCCGCAAGCCGCCCAAGCCCCAGCTTGTCTTGGTGAAGGACCCCGTGCCCACGGATTTGGTCTCCAGGACAAGTGCGGCCTCCAAGGACTTTCGGGCCCAGGGCAAAGACCCCCATGCCCTCGTCCTCTTCAGACTCCAGGAGGGAGTCAATCTCGTTGGTTGCTCCCGATGTGGTGTGCTTTCGTCTGTTCGACTTGCCCTGCTCTTTTCTCCTCGTGCTGGAAACCTGCCCACAGGGGCCAAGAAGATCTGGGAGCAGGCTCGATCGTGGCGAATACAAGCACATCTCGTCGGGCGTTTCGCGTATCCTCAGAATTGTCGAGGTCCGCTCAAATCTGAGTTGATCCTGTTTTGTAGGGAGTTGCGTAACCCGTGGCTCTCTGTCTTGCCCGGGAGGAGGAAGAGGAGGAGGAGGAGGAGGAGTAGGAGGAGGGGGAGGAGGGGGAGGAGGAGGAGGAGGAGGAGGAGGAGGAGAAGGAGGAGGGGTCGCCCAAGAGGGCCCGCGCCGATCGGCCAAAGACTGAGTAAACAAAAACGATCACAGCCCCACATACGGAACGCAGGGGCTCGCCTGGCCACGGGGAGCCTCGGCCACGCACGGGCTTCCCGACCCAGGGCTCCGAAGAACGGCTCGAACACCTCCTGAACCCGAGGGCGGCCCGAAGACCTCCTGAACCCACGCTCAGCGTCTCGACCGTAAGACGAAGCCAAGCCGAGGATAACATCGGGTGAGAAGACATCGAGAATCCCTGAGATCCGGCGGCACTGAAGGACGTCTCGGGCGCCGCGGCCTTCCCAAAACGTTCCGGAACACTCTGGAACTAATTTATCCTCGTCCTGGCCCCGTCCGAAAAGTCCCTCCTGAACCCTAGGCGGCCCTGACTTCAGAGTCTCGACTGTAAGCCGGATTGAAGGGCCACTGAGCCATGTTAGGCGAGATGAAGCCAGGAATGAAGCGGGATCAATCCGAACTGAGCCTGATGAGCCCTCAGAGAAGGCCAACCACGTCCAGGCAAACTGTGAACCTTGTCTGCAAACGCTGTGCTGCGACCACGACTCGCCGGAGGCTCCGTCGTCTTGCGCAGGCGACCGAGCATGAACTCTGGGGCGGGGCGAGGAGGAACGAGACACTGCTGACCCGGCTGCTCTGCCCTACAGTCAGACTCGATTGGACGGGACACGCGAGCGGACACAAGACCCTTCCGAGGGCCACAAGACCCTTCCGAGGACCCTTCCGAGGGCCACCACACCCTTTCCGAGGAAGCATGGGTCGCGAGACACAGGACACAAGGGTACCCTTGATTTGGCAGGGTCGACCTACTAATCTGGGCTGACTGTGCAAACCAGTCCAGACGAGGACAGCTTCGGACGAGGCTGTATGGGGAACCTCTGGGAGCTGGCGGGCCTGGAGGACGCCTCGGGCGTCGCGGCCTGCTGCAGACAGCTCCAGGAAACTCGGCTGCGCGCAACAGCGGCCGTGGGGGCAAGAATGACCACTGGTGCGCGGCTTCACGGGGGACGCGGGGTGGCGAAGCCTGGGCGCGCAAGCCCCTGCGCAACTGCTTCGCGTTCGGCGATCGGGGGGTCCCGTTGGGCCCGCATGAAGGATCACTCTGGCGACGGCGACGGCGACGACGACGACAACGACGACGACGGCGACAATGACGGCGACGACGCCGCCGCCGCCGCCGACGATGGCGATGACGACGAAGGCGACGACGACGGCGGCGACGACGGCGACGACGACGGCGACGACGACGAAGGCGACGACGGCGACGACGGCGACGACGGCGACAATGACGGCGACGACGACGCCGCCGCCGCCGACGATGGCGATGACGACGAAGGCGACGACGACGGCGGCGACGACGGCGACGACGACGCAGGCGGCGACGAAGGCGACGACGGCGACGACGAGAACGCTCTGGGAGCGCTCCGGAACGCTCTGGGAGCGACTTGCCCTCGTCCCGGCCCTGGCCGACCTGCCCCTCCTGCCTCGGCGGCGTCCAAGATGGTGGCGCCCGAGAGGGGGGGAGGGGGGGGGCGCGAATCGTGGCCGGCGGCAGGTGTGCGGCCCCGGGGGGGGTGAGCCGGGGACGCTCTGAGGTAAGAGGAGGCGCCATGCGATCTGGGGAGGTGTCCTGGCCCCCGCGCCGCCCCCGATCCTCGAGCAGGCTCTGCTGCACGGGGGCGGCCGAGCACGGCCGTGGCCCCAAGAGGCCCAAGGAGCCCCACAGGCCCGAGCAGCTCCCCCAGACGCTCGAGAGAGAGAGAGAGAGATAAAAGCAGAAACAACAACTGCCAGAGAGGCTCCAGGAAGCCGAGGATGCCCTTGATGGGCCTCCCACAAGCCCCCGAGGGGCGCCCCAAGAGAACCAGACACGTCTCTCACCCACGGCCCAAGCACGGTGGCGGGATGCGCTGGCGGAACTTCGGTGTGCGCATGCTCCGCTGAGAGCTGCCTTGCAACCAGTTGCAGTTACCCTGCCTCTGCTTCTCCCCCCAAACGAAACTCCCGCGACAGCTCAAAGAAACGACCGCCACCCGCAACCTTCTCAGCAACAGCGGGCACGCATGCCAGCGGCAGAGATAATACGGCGCATTGGCAGGCGGAGTGAGCGAAGCGATCGATGTTAAAGCGAAGCGCTCAGTCTCGAGACGCTGCAGCCGCGCCCTCGCGAAGCGCGCGAGCCCACCGCGATGCGCTGACTGGCCGCCCGTGCCCGCAGAGGCCCGCGCTGTGAACTACAGGCACGACCTCGGCGTCCTGGGCCCTCCTCCCCCCCTCTTCTCCTGGCTCCTCCCCCTCCTGCGCGGAGCTCTTGCTTGCTCCCAGCCTCTGGCGCTCGGCTCGCGTCCCGACTTCTTGCGTTGAGATTTTGAGGCGGCCTCCCTTCATCATCTTGGATGCCCGCTCCGCGGGCTTTCTGAGTCTGCAGGCCTCGAGTCTGCCTGCGCACCCCCGGCAGAGCCGCTCCTGGCGAACCTCCGAGGACATCCGAGCTCCGAGTAGAGGGCCACTTGCGAACCCTACCCCTACCCCCCACGATTTCTGAGGGGGAGGGTGGGGTTCACTTCGCTCGGGAGCTCCGAAATAAAGTGAACACCACCCACCCCCCCCGCAGAAATCGTGGGGGGTAGGGGTAGGGTTTGCAAGTGGCCCCCATACCGAAGTCCCCCTCCCGCTCCTCGCGCGGCCTGTCTGGAACGAGACCGCGCCCAGGTGGGTGGCCACGTCGGGCGCCACGTCCATGTCGGCCACCTCGAACAGGAACTGCGCCTCGGCCTGCGGGCTCACCGCCGCTGGCAGCAGCTCGGTCGTCGTGGGAGGTACCAAGGGGGAGGAAAAGGACAACGAGGAGGAGGAGGACGAGGAGGAGGAGGAAGAAAAGGAGAAAAAGAAGGAGGAGGAAAAGGAGCGAGAGGCTGAGAGAGAGGAAAAGTGGGGGTAGGAGGAGGAGGAGGAGGAGGAGGAGGAGGAGGAGGAGTCGCCATCCACCAGAGAACGTCGTCATCTCGCCCCGCCCCGCAGCAGCCTTCGAAGGCCACGATGTCGCACAGCCAGCACCTTAGCTCTGGCCTGTAACATCTGAGCCACTTTCGGCTTCTGCCTCCAATTCCTGAGCTTGTTATAGCAATTGAACAACAAATCTAAGGCGATGGCGCAAGATACCTGCGAGTCCAGGTCTCCTGGCCAAACGTGAGGGCACAATCTTTCAGGACCCGACAAATTCTGAAACGACCCCTGGAGAAGAGGCAACAACTCTAAAACCGTGGGCTCAGAAACGGGGCACTTGACATAGTGACACACATCATCACCTCCTACATTGGCGCACCCAAATCGGCACCCCTCAGCCCTATGATGGTACCTACGCGTTGTACTCCAGGCGTTACACATGGATTTGATGACACTAGACATGATAAAATTTGGAACATGCTGACCTACACGACCTAACTTAATCTGTAAAGTAATCGCATTGGCTTGGCTCACGGCTTGAGGGCCCAGAAAGTACCCAGAGCGGACCAACAAGGCCTCACAACACGGAATACCAGGGAACAACTGCTGGAGCCTCTTCAAGACCTGCGCCTGGAAACCTTTTTTCTCGGGGTCCTCTGGCATCTTCGGGAGGCTATCTAGCATGCGGCAGACCCTGTCCAGCTGGTACAAGCTGGACTCCTGGAACAAGGGATTGAACGAATGGCTAAGCAAGTATTCATCACTATCAACCAGCTCATTGTACATGTTAATCAACTTCGGGAATATTTCACTTTTCTTAGCCGTTCTGTATCGGGCGGCCATGCACAACTGGCGGAGTTGCGGCACCTTCAGCTTGATGCCAACACTCTCCAAGTCAAAGAAGGCAGCACGAGGTACCGCATGACGCGGCCCATTCACGAGCAGCTGCAGACACTCATCCTCCAGACGGAACGCAGCTGCTGGGGGCTCGAAGAACTGCCCGACGAATTGCGTGACCGACAGGGCTAGAGTCTTATAGCTCAGGAGGTTCTCAACGAAGCTCATACCCAATCCTCGAATCTCCCTCACCCTCCTCACATACTTGATAAGCGGGTCCCTCCAGCTGACCTCATCACCTCCTCTACCCAAGAAAATGCCTAAGTATTTTCCGTTCACCATAATACGAATGCTCCCAAGATCAATGCCCATCTCCTCAAACCTGTCTCTAATATACTCCTCGGAATACTCAGCCATGAAAACGATCACGCTCTTACGTGGGTTCAAGAACAACCCTGTCGCCAGACCACACTGCTGCATAATAACTAGTACGATGGGAACAGAGGAGAACAGGTTCCGCGACCCGTGCATCAAATCGTCAGCAAAGGCGCACAGGCAAGACTCTGGAGATGGCAGAGCACACATGAGAGCACGCACCACAGGATCTAGAGCTATGGCGAAAACCGATCCCGAGGCTGGACATCCCTGCTTGATCCCCGAGGAAATCATGAAACCCGCGAGGCGACCTCCAGAGAGAACGATCGTGACCTGAATGCCCGAATAAAGGAACCGAAACGCTCGAATGATAAAGGACGGGACGCCCATCTCCTCAAGCACCCACCAGATCCAATCATGATTCAGAGAAGGAAAGGCGGCACGCACATCTAGAAGGATGCCTCCGGTGTCCCTCTCCCCGGCGACACAGAACCAGACGGCCAGCTTAGAGTTGGCTTCAAGAACGTTGTCGTTCAAATACCGACGCATGACAAAGCCACGCTGAGGCTCGGCACAGGATATCGATGCTTGTTTGGCAAGGCCCCAATTCAACCACCCACTTAGAATCTTGTTATCTGTGTTGCCCAGACATATAGGCCGAGTCTCAGACGGGCTCTTAATCAGCTCATCGATGCACTCAGGAATCTCGCCCTTGGGGATAAAGCCGGCGAGACACTCATTAAAGGTGGCGGCGTCGCAGACGTCGCCCTCCAGAAGGGCCTGGTACGCCTGAAACAAGACCTGAGCACCTAACTCCCCACAATGAGAGTAGCAGCTGTACGGGACACCGTCAGGTCCTGGAGCCGAATCCCGATACCTCCGAAGCCCCTGCAAAAACTGCTCGTAGTCGACAGTCCAGAGAACACGATCCGAAGCTTTCTGCACGAATCTTCTAAAAGGCTCGCGATACTCAGGATCCCGAGGACGATTTGCGTGGACCTGCCCCCAGTGGTCGGCCAAGAGTTCAGCGCTACCCTCGAGAGTGTCGGGAACACTACCGTCTGGAGCTTCAACTCCAGCGAGAACTATTCGACGATTGCGGGCCCTCCAGACCTGCAGGTGCCTCTGAATTTGCTGTGCTTTCTTAACCTTATACTCCTCGGAAAGCTGCGGCGTCGAAAACAACTCCTTCACCTCTTCCTCCAAAACCGCTTGGGAACAGCTCCTCATCGTTTCCATGAAACCAGCGTAGTTCACCCAAAACATCCCATCCAAATCAATAAACTGGCACAGATCAGGATAAGCTCGCACAGCTTTCTTCACTACACGGCTGTTGTCCAGCGTCATCGCCCGGAGCACGGCGAAGAACCAGGACAACTTCTCTTGGTTAGTCGATGGACCATCCACGGAGAGACCTTCTTTCACCTGCCGAGCTGCCTCGTGAAAAACTTCTTTTAGAGCCCGAAGACGACTCCAAGCATCCCTGAACTCAGGCATATCCCTCCAGAGGTCCTGGACCAGGTCCGAAAACTGCGGCTTTTTCACGATCCACGAGGCAATTCTAGGGTAAGACGCCTTGTAGCCTGGGTTCAGCTGGACATACAGCGGCGTGTGGTCGCTAGGTCTGGTTAGGTCAGTCACTGGCCAGAGCACACCAGCCATCGGCTTCAAATCCATCAAGTGCCCAGAGTCCAAAGACGTGTACACTCTATCTAATCGGCTAGCAGAAACCAGCTGCTCGCCGTGCTTAACTCTGAAGGTAGGGTTGAGCTGGGTCAGCTCGCAGAGAGTGGGGAAAGTGTTGGCGAAGAAGGCTCCTACCGTATCTGTTTTACTCGACACAGGTTCAGCACGAAGAAAAAGCCGAGAATCCCCAGGATCAAGACAGTTGAAATCTCCCAAAATCCATGACGCGTATTTCGAGGAAGGTTGGATACATGTAGCCACCTGCCTAATCAACCCATATTTCTGACTGTTACTGAGACTGGGATTTATGTGAATGTTGCTAACTGTCATACATCCTAGCTTTCCCCGAAGATGAAGATGGTGGCACCGCCCCTTGGCGATAACCTCGTGCTTGACATGCACAAAGTACTGCAAAAAAGAACGGCGGATCAGGATCACAGACCCTCCAGCAGCCTGGCCCGAGAGAAAGGTACCCCAGCCTCGAAAATGCCGGACATCAGCAAGCAGAAGACCCAGATCTTCACGGCACCCATGACACTCCTGCAAAACTACAATGTCGGACTTCTCGCACAGCTTCATGACAGTCGCTCTCGTACGAGCTTGTGTCTCCACATCAGCATAGATAGATCCAAACAAAGTGTGAGTGTTCCACGTCGTGATTCTGAATCTCTCTCGCACGATGAACGGCAACTCTAGCACCTGGTCGGACAGGGTGTCGCCCCATTCACCATCCTCATCACTGGACTCCTCTGACGAGCTGGCAGAGGTATCGCTTACCGACGAGGACGAGGCCGAGGAAGCCGAAGAACAAAATCGCATATGATCCAGCTGCCGTTGAAGAGAGAGAGAGCTGCGGCTATTTGCACAGCTCGAATTCCTTACATGTCCCTGTACTGGTTGCGTAATCTCCTACTCATTGAGCAGGCGCAGCATGCGGTCGACGTCGGCCTGGTCGAAGCCAAAGTGGTTGATGTCGTCCGTGGCCGAGCACAGCATCCGATTGAGCGGGTCCACCACACCCCTGAAGAGGATCCAGATGTCGCCGTCCTTAATGAAGTAGAACTCGTTGCGAAAGCCGTTGGCTCCCATCCGAACACTCTGAGACCAATGATTTTTCTTCACCATCAGCTCCTTCACGGTAGTCCAAACTCGTCCAAGCTGGCGCTGACGACTGCGTACGTCACCTGGTAGATCACTTCGAACTCGAATATCATGTGAGGATTGGTCTCTTGCATCACGCCAGCACATCGGGTACTCTGTCATGAAATCGTGAAACTCGCGCGCCTGCGCGGCCGTCTCGAAGTGGACGCTGTAGCTCTGGGAGATCCGCGCGAACTTGGCAGTCATGTGCTCACTCATGTGACGGCTGACGTGCCCTTTGAGCTGCTCGAAGTGGGCCATGCGAGCAGCTGACAGAAGCGGTCGTGGAAATCCGCTGATCCAACGACGACAATCATCAGGCTCATCATCAGGTACGGCACGGCCAGAAGGCCCCGCACTCGCTGAACGTGAGTACTTCGTAGGTCTTGAACCCGACCCCGCTGAGGTAGCAGCCTGCGACGCGGTCTTGATCTCGGCGCGCATGGAGTCCATGTCCCTCTTCACGTTGGCGGTGAGGTCGTCCATCTGCTTGGCCAACCTGGCGTCCGCTTGACTCGCACCAGCAGGAAGACGAGCCAGAGAGTTCTCAATGGAGATGACCTTGGCCTCCAGCGTCGCGATCTTGCCTATCTCATTCATGGCCCTCTGCTGGGCCTCCGTGATCACCTGCATCTTCTCCCCCATCCGCTTGTTGCATCTGGTGTTCTCCTCCATCGCAGCGGCGATCCGCTCGAGCGCAGACGAGGGCACCGCCGTAGTGGCCTCCTCGTCCTCGGCAGCACCGCCAGAGGCAGCGACACCCGACATGGCAGCACTGGGAGCGCGGCGGA